GTCAGGGAACTTTTTTACCTTTTACCTCCCAAAAAATGTATATACGTTGACATTACCCCCGCTGGCTCTTGCCGTCCGCAACCGCCCCCTGCGCTTGCCCGGGACCTGCTACCAGGGTGGGTGGGCATGGGCAGGAAGGAGAGCCCCGGCCAGGGCTCCACCAGGCAAAGAGTCCAGCTGGCCTGGTACGCCACCCTCCCCCCAACTTGGAGGCAAGGAGGGCAGGCAGGTGCCCTGTGCAGTTCCTCGCCAGGGATTGCTCTCCCCGTGACGGAATGCCCGCCTACACACAGCATCATCAGAAATAAAACGCCTGGGGATAACATGCCTGCTGTGACCGTCCTCATTACCCCCAGGATTTTCATTTTTACCCCATTTGGGGTAATTTACCCCTGTTCCCTGACCACTGGTGTACAGCATACATTTTCAATGAACAAAACTGGTGGATGCACAAATTCCTGTTTTTGTTTATTGGCAGAAGCTATATATTGGTTTTTCCTTTTACATAGAATGTGGTGTTGGTCTTATACACAGACTGTTTCTTGACTCCTCACCTGTCCAGCTTTTGCATTTTCACACACAAAGGCCTCATAAAACCTGGGAAATTCTGGAGCATTGTCATTTACATCCAAGACTCTTATTGTGACTGAAACACTGCCAACCTGTGAAGGATTGTCTGAAAGAAGTTAGAACAAATTAAAATCAGAGCAGTTCAGTCTTGGCATAACTTAATCCTGAGACAGTGAACTACCTTGAAGACTCCTGCCCAGGAAAAGAAGATGGGTAAGCAGTACTGTATATTTAAGCCATACAAGTTAAGCTCTTGAGGTTCTGATTTAATTACTTACGCATCTCTGGAAATCTGCCACATCATTATCCAAAAATGTCTATTCCGTCTATTTCTGGAATTTTGAATCAGTTCATCCAAAGGTCTTTACCATTTTAAAACCTGGATCGGGATGAGCAAGTCCTCCCTTCGAAATGGGTTTTAGACTGTAATCCTATCAACTGTAACCAGCACAAACATTGAGGGATGATGGGACCTCACCAGCAAATGGTGAGGGATGACGGGACCTGCAATCCAAATCCATATGAAGGGCCCAAAATTTCCTACCCTTGACTTAGATTGATAGCATATGTTCCCGAACACAAAAATGTTTACATCATATTGACTAGAATCACTGGGCTGTGCAATTGATTTGATTTAAACCCTGAACCACAAAACCTCTGGACCTATCTATCAGCAAGCTGATACAATTACTCCCATCTGGGGTGGGGGGCTACCTTGTCTTCAAACTTATGAAAACCTGTGTGGGGGTGGGGGAAGGAAGATACTGACATTTTAATTTCCCAATGAAGTGAGCCTCTCATTAGCCTCTTGTGCTTCTACAAAAGCAAAAGGGTGCCACAAAGTGTCTGAACCAGGCCATTTTAATTTTAGTTTGCAGGAAATTTGTTCCACACAAAATATCATGGTGTGATATGACATTATTATGCCATGAGTCTCTTTCACATAAAGAACCACTAACAGGCCTATTCCTTCTTTTTCTTTTTCTTTCAATAGAAGCTCCACGTTTGCTGTGGACAGCAGCACCTCCTCTGCTACTCTCAGTGATTTCTATTGCAAGCCAGTATCTGGGAAGGGAAAACTCCATGCTTGGTGGTTTCATGTTATGTAGTTATAGGGAAGGGGATAAAAAAAAAAACTCTTCACAAACTAAGTTTTGTTTATGATGACCCTTATCTGATTTGCTATACCATCTAGTTCCACCCATATTGTTTCACAGATTGAATGTCTGCCATCCGCGGCTAAAGAGAATTTCTCAGAAATGCCACAGTAATTCTATAGCAACAGTGACCCTAGACTAGGTTTTGGGACATATCTGAGAAGCTGTCAAGCAGGTTTTTCTGCTCTAGACAAGATTTATTACAATTACGATCCATTTCTACAGGGCAGTTAAAAAAAAGCAAGCAGATGGTCATGACAGCCACTCACTACTGGCTCAAGGAAGGTTTGAACCAGTGACCTAGAAGTGAAAGGCTTTTGCATTAGCAATTCCCTGAGCCATTCAGTCCTCCCCGATAATGCTGTTTTTTTACTCTGATAAGCCCTGCAATATTCAGAACATCTGTTTTTGCTACTAATAGTTCCTGGAGAGAATGTGTATGCTAGCTCTTATCCAACATGCATTACAGAAAAAAGACACACACATGGAGAAAGGAAAAGATCTTGAACAAAAATTCCTTTGAATGTTAATGAACTGAGTAAACAACCCTTCCCATTTTATTTGTAGAACCCTCCCCCACAAGGAGTTTAACAATTAAATGCTCTTTTCATTTCTGCAATCAGACAGAAAATGGAGTTTGGACTATATGCATACTGTATAAATGCCCATGCCATTCATGTAGATTTAACACTAGCTTATTCTTAGCTACTGTGAAGCGACCAGGCGCTGGTTGTAGGATACTATTTTTAAATAGTAATAAAATAGGAGCCTAGGTCAGAAGACTAGGGTATGCTGCAGAATGGACTGCAGAATACCAACAAGTGATGCAGAAGTCCCTTTGCTAAGCTACGATCTTCTGTCCATGAAAGGAGGATCCTGGATCGAACCCATTCAGTTATCTTCAGGCAGGAGGGAGGAAATTTTCCCCAAGAAGGCAGGAAGGAAGGAAAGAAAGGAGGGAGGGAGGAAGAGAGAGATGGCATTCACAATCTTTAGCTAGTTCTCTTTAGTGCCATTGTAGTGAACTTCGTTGCCACTGGGTTGTTCTTATAAGCTGTTAAAATGGAACTGACCTATAGCAACCCTAATAGGGCTTTGCAGTGATTTGAACCCAGGACTCCTGAGCACTAGTCCATCACTCTATATATTGCACCACTGGGTAGCAGCAGGTATGTGCATACATTTATAAAGGGAAGGGATTCTGAAGGACTATCTAATCAAAAGATATAATGAGAAATAATTGGAAGTGGAGATACTGTATATTGTATGGATAAAGCCTTAAACTTCTATCTTAAAAACAATAATGCAGAATGAAAAGGAGGATGCAGTTAAAATGTGGTTATATTAGTATCAGCTCATACAGATGAAGGGCAGACTGGATAGCTCAGTGAGCTGGGTACTTAAGAATGGAGGCAAAGGTCAGGAGTTCAATCCCTGCAGTAGCACCTGGGAGAAGAGCCAGCCTATGTAGCCTTGGACAAGCTGCACAGTTCTAGATGACCCTTGGAAGAAGGGAAGGACTAACAATGTCTGAGTACTGTATACCTAGAAAACCCTGGAAAGGGTTGCCATTGGTTGGAATCAACTTAATGTGATTTTATCATTATTACTTATTATACCAGTGGTTTCCAGCCATGGGTAACTGAGGTGTTCTTGGAGTGCAACTCCAAGAAACCCTGGCCAGCACAGCTGGTGCTGAAGGCTTCTGGGAACTGCAGTCTAAGAACACCTGGATTACAAAAGGCTAGGAACTGCTGTATCATACATTTGGAACAAAGTCCATCCACAATGGCCATGCCATCTCTTCCAACTTCATGCATGACTGTTGTGCACCTTACTCAGCTCTAGGGCCAGCACTGTGATGTTGTGCCATGCAATGTCTTCCCGATCCAGCGGTCTTGCAGTCATCAGAGCCCCTGTTGTGATGTCAACATAAAAGAAACGTCCAGGATCACTGCTTCGATCAATGGAGTACCTGTGAAAGTACATATTTAGACAATTATTATCTATTCTAAGGGAGAAAAATATTATACATTGGTTTTAATTCATCTTCATTTATATACATAAAATTGTAGGTTTTACTCCAAGCTGGACACTAACTGAGCAGAACAGATATTAGGACATACTTCCCCTTTCCTTAATAATAGATCTTTGAGGACACCTAAATAAGTCAACTGAAGATTCAGGACAGAGAAAAAGAAGTACTTCTTCACAGTGTGTGATTTCTGAATACAGTTACTAGGGGGTAAGCCAGTAGTAACAAAGCAGAACTTACTTCTCCATAAAAATGGCTATGATTATGCTGTAAGACTGCAGTCCTAAACTTACTTAAAATTTTGTAATTATAGAGTGGCAAACAAACTTCAAGGTCATCTAGTACAACTTTCTGATAATGCAGGAAATTTATTACCAACCTATGCTTAAATAACTCCTATGACAGAGTTACTTTCCAAGTAAACACTGGTGAATATTTTAGGACCTGGTCCTGAGTAAATATCCGTAGGATTGTCCTGACAATGTGCAATTAATTTATGTAATCATAAAATGTCATCATAGTATCTATCTCATATGGCCTTTGAGAGCATGAAAGGGGGTAAATGAACAGCACACCAAGTTCCTGTTTCTGTTTACTAGTTCTGAGAACTAAATAAGAGGTGGTTTTCATCCTACTCTGATATCTTCCTTTTGAGCTTCTCCTTGCCCACTACTCCCAGAAATATAGTCCTAAATCTAATTGTTCTTGTCCACTAGAGTAGATCCACTGAATCCAATGGAGGCTGGCAACTCTTGATTTTAGTGACTTTGACTGTCTTTAAAGTTTGGTGGGATCACAAAAATGGGACAATCGGCTTTTACTGACTAAATCAATGGAACCTACATAAGAGTTTTGCCTTACTATTGATTCAATAGCTTGCCTAGTTGAGTTTAACAACTGGATTTAGGTCAGAATGCTGGACTTGAACTTATAGCCCTTGGAAAATAAGCAAAGCTATCATTATATAATTGTATTATCATGTTCATTTTCACTGAGAGAAAAAATGAATCTAGTTCAGGACATACTGCAAAGTAGTTCAGGATTTATGTAATAATGGAACAGCCAGACATTTCTAATTGAAGTATCAGACACATTCAGTTCAGCAACTGAAATGAAAAGGAACCATCCTGCCAAAGTTAGGAAGTTTTAAATTTTATTCTTTTAACAGGAATAATTACGTAGATGCTAACATTTCTTTCACTGGATCCCAAAGAGGGTGAAATATTGGCTGGCTTGCATCTAAAATCTTTTGAAATTATAGACTAGCCCACAGTTTAGACAGAAGTCTTTCTTTGCTAACAAGAGGTAGGTCATGGTAAATTCTGGAGAGATGGCACCTATCAGCTTTAGAACCCACTTCTCCCTCTTTACATAGCCTCTATAGAAATATATCATTTTATCAGCCTCAAAAGGGCAGAAAGAGACATTCTAAATACAGTAGGAACCCCTCATCTGCAGGATCAATATCCACTGATTCACTTATCCATGGTCCAAAAATATAACAAATATTAAAAGAAAAAAACCCTAAATATACATTTTTAATGGAGTTACCAGAACTGGCCATGAGAGGCAGCCGCCTCATCTGCAGGATCAATATCCACTGATTGACTTATCCATGGTTCAAAAATATAACAAAAATTAAAAGAAAAAAAAAACCCTAAATATACATTTTTAATAGAGTTACCAGAAATGGCCATGAGAGGCAGCCAGAGAACATGCTATGTATAGCATCTGCTATACATATAATGGTGTTTGCGATAATCCACATTTTTCACTATCCACGGGGCAGGGGGCTTGAAACCAATCCCCTGAGGATACAGGGCTCCTTCTCTACCTGGTTATCCAGCCACTTTATTTTGAAGCAGTCACTTTTTTGTCAGCTTCAGATCCATTTTGTAGTAACTGACTTTTAAGTTTTGGTTCAGTAACTGTCCTGCCCCCTCCCAAACCATTTTGGGTCTTTGATTTAGGTTCTGTTTGACTCTCCAATTAAATGATATCTTTTGGGAGAAACGTTCCAAGGAAGGGAAATATTGCTGCCACAAATCATCTGAACCACTTTTATACATTGCGAACTGTTGTATAAACATAATTGCATTCCCTCTTAGGCCTGTTGTTATTTACTTCAGTTTATCCAGAGCCAGGCAGTTTTCATAGTAGCAGTTAAAACCGGTTCATTTGCTAATGGGCTGGGTGATAGGAGATGCAACTATAATCTGTTCAAAAACATTTTTGTTGCCATTAGAAATCAACATTGAAGGGGATGCCAATGGCATAGTTGGGGAAACTGACCAAAAATATTTTTTTCAAAGGGACAGCCAGTTTAAGTCTGTTCATATACAGAGGAAGGGATATATGGGAACCTTTTGGTTAGTCTAGGGTTGCCTAATTATTCAAAGGAGTTGCACAGGACAGAGCACTACAACAGAGGCAATAAGTCAGTCTGCTCAAGAACTCACAACGAAACTAAACTGGCCTAAATCTGGAGAGTTTAGATGGGCTATGGATTGCTATATATCTGAATTTGTCCTGCTCACATAACTTAAGAATGTTGGTCCGGTTCATTGTATTCTGATCTATGATATGATTATGACACCAGAATTGCAGTTGAATTTGTGCATAGGTGTAAACGTACAGCATGGATGTAACACATCAGTTGCAACTATATTTTGGGGGAAATTGAAGGTGTAATGAATTCACATGTCTTGTGAGCTGTGGGAAGAGCAGTACCAAAAAAAAAGCAACTGTTCCCAATCTGCATTTAAAAAATGCTGTGAAGAGTGGAAACAATGCCAATTTCTTTTGGTGCATCATATAACATTTCTAGTCTCTTTTAAGCTACACTTTAAGGGCATTTTAGAGGCATTTTTCAAGGTTGTGCCATTAAAAAAAATGGAAAAGGCATTAATGATTACTACAAGGTTGTGCCATTAAGGGACGTGGTGGCGCTGCGGGTTAAATCGCAGAAGCCTCTGTGCTGCAAGGTCAGAAGACCAGCCAACTTAAGATTGAATCCACGTGATGGAGTGAGCTCCCGTCGCTTGTCCCAGCTCCTGCCAACCTAGCAGTTTGAAAACATGTAAAAAATTGTGAGTAGATAAATAGGTACCACCTCAATGGGAAGGTGTTCCATGTCTGGATAAATAGGTACCACCTCGATGGGAAGGGGTTCCATGTCTGGTCGCACTGGTCACGTGACCACAGAAACTGTCTTTGGACAAATGCTGGCTCTATGGCTTGGAAACGGGGATGAGCACTGCCCCCTAGAGTCAGAAACAACTGGGCTAAATGCCAAGGGGAACTTTACCTAATGTCTTTTTGGGGCTTTGTAATAAGTTGAACAGCAAAATACATTTGAAAAGCAACTTTTCAAACTCTGTCGTTTTGAGTCTGTTGGATGTTGGGGAAAGACTTGTCTAGCAAGGAGATGCCACAGGTATTTATCTGGGAAGTATGTGCATGTTTCTCCTCACCTGGGCATCTGCATGGTTTGTTCTAGTGCTTTATTGCTCACCAAAATGTATTCATGCTTGATCTAGTGATTTTAAATCCAGTTCAAAATGGAAGAGTGGGAGGAACTGGGAAGCTGCCTGTACCACTGACACCAATACAGTATGTGTCTTTGTGGGAATAAGAGCTGGCTGAATATCTCAGTGGTTGGAGTAATTGAGCCTGAGGTTGGGAGTTTGATTTCCCACTGTGTCTCAGAGGAGAGGAGATTCTATAATATGGTGATCCTTGTGCAGTCCTTCCTTTTGAGATTATTAAGCAAATTTATGAAAAGTGTTCTGAGTGCCAAAGAAATGTGTTATTTAAATGCTAAATGTTAATGCTAGTGGTTAAGAGCATTGCTTATGGGCCAAGAGTGACTTGCTTCCATCTCTGCTTAGATATGAACTCAGTGGGTAGCTGAGGAAAAGCCACCAATTTTTAGTCCTTAATTGCTGCTGGAGGTGGCTATTTTAATTTAAAAAATGATAATTCTCCTGACTTACAGTGACTCTGAATGTGATCTACTACTCCAGTGTGTTCTATGAGACTTTATTCTGCACCCAGCAGTAGTTCTGATTTTTAAAACTATAACAATATTGTAGTGGGTTAAGAGGCTAGGGGGTGGACTGTGTGGTATATAAATCATGTGGTGTGAGCTCCCCTTTCCCTTTTAAAAATTTAGATTAGAGTTTAGAGTGCTAGTCTCGTTTAAAGCACTTCCCCAGCCACTGATTTCTCTAAATTTGCCCCATCCTTATATTGGGATAAGAGGGACAATAGTAAACACTAATTACTAATTACAAATACAAACATATTCCCCCTTTTCAGAGAGATCAATCACTGCCTTAGCATGCAGTGTTACTTAGAACTTAATTAGATCAGCATTTGTCCCACTGTTGTGGTCCACTGTGGGGCCAGGTTGGTTCACGTTTTTTTAAACCAGTGATCACAAAACATAATCACTGGAGGGAACCAAAATATCCCCAGAACAATCCTGCACCTTTCTGAGCCCCTATCAGGGGCTTGTATTTTTTGGGTGTGGGTAGGATTGCTCTGTTTTGGTCTATTTCCAGCCTTTGTGATCACTGGGAACAGAGCCTTCCTGGCTGTCAAGGTTCCTTCTAATTGGAATTTCCAGTACTCTGAAATGGCTTAATAGGTGAGCTATTTCAGGATATCAGAAAATTGAAATTTCTTTGAAAACGCTGGTAGACTATTTTCTTTGGTTTGTTTGAATGGATTTGGCTGCACGCAGTTTCTTGACTGGTCCTTGAAAAGAAACTAAAGAAACTGTTTTGTTTTTTTCCAAAGTGATGCAGTGTCTCAGCAATAGTCCACCAGAGTTTTCAAAGAAATTTCGCTTCATGATAGCCAAAGAAGCTGGACTAAATAGGGTTATTTGAACTCTGGTACACTATTTGGATGTGAGGATTGCATCAAACGGCATATCATGCTTCCCATCCAATCTCAACCAACTCTATTTAGCCTGCTCACTCCAAAAGAGCCAGTTTAGATGAGCCATAACAACAAACAACAACAACAACAACAACAACAAGCCATCAAACAAATTCTGACTTATGGTGATCCTTTCTAGGATTTTCCAGGTAGAGAATACTCAGAAGTGGTTGACCCTTCCCTTCTTCTGGGGGCTCCCTGGGACTGTGCAGCTTGCCCAAGACCATACAGGCTGACTCTTCTCCTACGAAGGCACAGTTGGGAATGGAACTCCCAACCTCTGACTCCACAACCAGATACCTCAACTACTAAGCCAGCCAGGTAAGTAAGCACTGCATAATACAGTAATAGCATAGCATGGCTTTTTAGCCAGTTAGTTGTAATGAGAAAGAGGAAGAGGAAGAACTTCTAAGCTATTAGTGGCTGCTAGACTCTGTGGGCTTCAAAGTGTGTGAGATAATGATTTTTATATCTATTGGATTTGAGGAGATTCAAGATTGTCTGGTTTGGAGCCAGGCTTAATTGTGGGACTGAAGTTAACCACGGTTAGCTACCGTACTTCCACTGATTTCGCTGGGTCTGCTTTAATACTTTTTTAATGCTTTATTTTTCAACGGTCAGTTATTAAACTGGAACAGAGTAAAACTGCTACAAGTTATAATAATTTATCTTTTGTACTAGTAGAATATGTTTTTATTCAAAAGAGGCTCTGATAATAGCATGAAGTCATTTATACAAAAAGAAACTAAGACAGTTACTCTTGTATTCTAAAGCAGTCCTGCTTGATCAGGGAACAGCAATATAATCAAGGCAAGATATTTTGCTGTCTGAGGCAAAGGGTGAGATGCAGCATACCACACTGTGTGTACAGAAATGACCTCCACTGACAATTTTACTTCCACACTGAGAGGGCAGCGTGTTTTGCTCTTCAGAACAGCAGGCTAGTTTTGGGGATGCAACATAGGACGTGCTGGGGTTGCCACCCCCAGCATCCACTACCTGAGATGGTTCCCTATTAAACTACATATCATTAGCACATCATTAGAAGCATACTTTCTTACATGGTGAAAATTGTCTGTCATAGCATGTCTTTTCCTTCACCTCTGCATTATGCGTTCCTGTGATCTTTGCACTGTGATTGGTTATTGGAAGTTAAACACAAGCTTAATTTCCAAGCCTGATCTTGAGGCATCCACCTCCGTGGAAAGTGTACCATGGGAAGGAGAAAAGGGCCAACTAAATGGAATACATATTTTCTTTAACCTCTAGTTTGAGCCACTCTTTGTCTAACGGTAGGGATGGCCTTGGAGTACACCCCAAACCAGGTGTTCTTTTTAATATTTTCTGAGAGTTGCAGAGGAGAATGGGACTCATAAGACTTCTATGATGGTAACATAATTTCTGTACCTTGTATGTAGTTACTATAATGACTGAGAGAAGATATGAGAAAAGCTCTGGAAACAGTAGAGAATGGGTCATTTGTAAGCTGGTATTACGGTATGCAGAAGAAGCAAATAGGAAAGAAGACTCATAGTTGGAAAGCCACCTACTGGGACAGAAGTAGCTTCAGAAGCAGCACAGGAAAGAAGAAGAGAATATGACTCTTGTCTTATTTTCTTTCTGAAATGAAGGTGGTCCTGGGGTGCTGAATTTCTAAAGAAATTATGCACAAAAGCTTTGGGAAATTGTGTAATAATGATCTTCCTTGAAAAGGCCTATTACAAATTTCTCCCCTGGACACTTTATAGCTAACTTGTGTCTGAAATTGAATATGGTCTCATGATTAGTAGTACAGTATTAATTACTGGTGCCACACAGTGCAGATGGGGAGGGGGTTGTACTGCCTATGATTAATAATAACTGGTTCTTGGCAGTTAATTGAGTCCATCAAACTCTTTACATACTCTCGCTTAGTCATTCTGAATTATCAAAAGACAGTATTGCATTTATCAGTGAAAGTTTTAGAAAGTCAAGCCATGTTTCCAAAATGCTGCCACAAATCATCTGAACCACTTTTATACATTGCGAACTGTTGTATAAACATAATTTGAACAAAAATGTTCAAATCCTCTTATTTGTAAATGTCACTGATAAATGCAACATTGTCCTTTGTGATTTAAGTAGTCAGCAGAATCCCAAACCTTTGCATAGTGGAGTTGGTCTTGTTATTTTCAGGCCCCATATATATACAGCCAAATACCATAATTAACAATTCAGCACCATTGCCATCATACAGCTGTGTAGACATGGTGACCTTGCTATTACTATTGGCACACTGATGATAATACTAATACAGTCGTCCCCCGCTTTACGATTACCCTGTTTAACGATGAATCCGCTTGACGATGTTTTGAATGGGGTTTTTCCGCTGTGTGATGATCGGTTCCCTGCTTCGGGAACCAATTTTCGCTTTACGACAATCAAAAACAGCTGATCATCGAGTTTCAAAATGGCCGCTGGCTGCAGAAAATGACCCCCCACTGTGCTTAGGAACAGATTCCTCGCTGCACAGACACTGAAAATGGCCGCCCCTATGGAGGATCTTTGCTGGACAGTGAGTTTTCAGCCCATTGGAACACATTGAACGGTTTTCAATGCGTTTCAACGGGTTTTTTCGTTTCATTTGACCATGTTTTCGCTCTACAGCGACTTCGCTGGAACGAATTAACATCGTCAAGTGAGGCACCACTATATCTGTGAAGACAGAGGAGTTAATTAGGTCATATACAATACTAAAATCATAAAATTATTTTATTATTACATGAAATCATTTCCCTGGCAAAGCAAAAGTAGGATAATGTCTTCATTCCTGCACTAGGGAATTTCTCCTACTTCTTTAAGGGTTGCATGTTTTCTTGGGTAGTCTGCTGGAACTATATGGGGTCAGTCATCCCACTGTTTCTCTCTTTTTTTCCACACCTCCTTCTCTGTCTTCCTTTCTCCCTTTCTCTGACAATTCTTGTTGCAGCCAGCTAACAACGGCGGGACAAATTGCTCTTGGAAGAGGTCTGATTTCCTTCCTAGCAGAGCTCTTTTGAAATGACACTGAGAGCCACACACAGCTCTAGGCCCATTTCTGTTTTATTATGGTGAAGCTAAATGTCAAAAATGTTTTGAGTGGACTTTTGTAAGTTGGCTTGCCTGACAGATTGAACCATGGGTTATCAAAGGACAAGTTTGCTTCCCACAATTTTTCCACATACAGCAGCTCTGCAGACTGGCCATCCAATCTTCTTTCAACACTAGTGACAGGACACTGTCCTCCAACACATCTGAGGTCCGAAGGCTAGTCAAAGAGGCGCATGATAGGCCATCTAGCACATGCAGCTCTCCTGGATCCCTAGCATCTTGTCACCTGAGGCCACTGCTTTGTCCTGTCTCGTGATAGGGACATCCCTAGTCGGATTGTGATCCAATTTCTTGATCTGATTTCAAAGAACATAGACATGGACCTTTTGACTGCGCACACTGGGCCAAACTCACATTCGAACATTTATGTAGGCTGGACATTTAGAACTTGTGTTAGTCACTGAAAACAACAACAATAACCCTATCAGTTAACATAGCAGTTATAGAGTGAAGAAGAAAACCTGATTGAGTTGTTGGTCACATCAGGGTCCTTGGCATTAATCATTTGTATGGTTGTCCCAATGTCCACATCTTCAGGTACCTCCACAAAATAAAAGCTAGGTTCAAACTCTGGGGGCTCATCCACATCCTCCACACTGATATGCACAGTGGCAGTGTCACGGAACGGGCCTAGGTTCAAGAAACGCATTTCCAGGTGAGGATTAGCACCCTCTACTTTTAAAGTGTACGTTTTTTTGCTCTCGAAGCTCAGTGGCTGCAGAAGAAGAGGCAAAGGGAAGGGAAAAAAAGGATAAGAATTTGGAACACACCTCAAACTAAAATGAATATTTTGAGCCCCACAGTTCAATTCCTTTAAAATAAAACATATCACATGGGTGGCATATTGTTATCTGTTAATAGCTGTAACCCAGCCATGTTTGAACACTGTTAATCCCATTGATTTCTACAAAAGGTAAGTAAGCACATGCTTAAGTGCTCTCCTAAAATCAGTGAAACTCAAATATGTTGTACTTTCACGGGTTTATAAGCCCTTTATTACGACTGCCAAATGTTAGAGGAAGCCCATATTGCACAACAAATGCCATAGTAAAAGCATCACACTAACTTCCCCCTTTTCCAGAAGAAAATTTTGTTCCATGCTGAGTTTTCATGCCTCTTTTCTTGGTACATTTTACACAAAAAAGAAAATTGATGCTGATAATTGTTCTGCAGTGATACTTAATGGGTGCCTTTTATGTGTAACAATAAAATGATAATTGAAAAGAAGCCTAGTGACAAAAGCAAAGTGAGGCCAAGGAATGACCAAGGAACTTTAATAAAAGTGGATATTGAAACAGTTGCAAGGGTCTTATAGAACATTATGAGGACTCCTGCTGATAATTTAATTTCCACGACTACAATGGTTATATGCTCTTTACTTTTACATAATGGGTACTTTAGTGCTGCATATTAGCAAAATGTTATCCTTGTAATTGGTACAGACCTTGATCTAAACCAAATGTATGTTCTTTTAAGTAATTGCCTCAGTTTCAAAAGCAAATGCATTAGAAGATGTTTATTTTTGTTTTCTGAACTAGATTTTTAAACACAAGTCAATATTATTGACTTTTGTTTTTAGCATGTATTTTCTTTCAGTAAGGCCAGTGCTAAAGAGATTAGTATATGAACCTGAGTTTCACACTGAGTGTTCACACATTTACCAGCAGCAAATCCAAAATTTGCTAGCAAGCATTTGTAGGACTGTTCAGCCACATGTCCCTTATAATGATACCCTTAGGAGGCATACTTTTTCAAATAGATATTTGACATCTGCATCAATTTACATTTAATATTTAAAGTATCCTATACAGTCGTGCCCTGCTTTATGATTGCCCCACATTACGACAAAACCACATTACGACGTTTTTGCGATCGCAAAACGATGGTCTGAATAAGCTTTTTTCAACAACACTTCTGAGTAGACATGCTTAGGACAGTGGTGTTTGCCCTAAGCAACTTCACTTGGAATAGAGCCAATGTGTGAACACTACTTTTGCCAATTAATAGCAGCATTAACTGAATAGAATTTCCCCTGTGATATCTAGGAATAATGATAGTAATAATGATATTTGCATGCTGCCAAGTCAATACTAACTTATGGCAACTCTTCTTAAGGTTTTCTAAGTATAAAGCATTTAGATGTGGATTTACTAGTCCCTTTCTTCTGCAAGTGCTCTGGGACCACGTAGATTGCCCAAGGCCACAAATTCCAGCTCTCTCACTAGACACAGTGGGGAACAATGTCCAACTCCTGGCTCCACAGCCAGATGCTCCAACTCACTGAGCTATCCAGCTGGCATACCTGACATTAAGATGTAATTAAAAATTAAAACCAAGTAATGGTACTACTGAGACAAATGGAAGAATAGTTTCATTGTGGCAATTATTTGTCATAATGTAGCTCATATAAAGAAGTTTGATGGGCCTTTTTTCTGAAACATATACCCAGAAAGCCATTTGAATCTGAAAAGATAAGGGTGTGTGTGACGATCGCCCACGTCACTCATGCCATTCATATTCACGAGCTGATTTGTATGAACCTGTGAGAGGACTGGAAAGGCGGAGTCACCTGCTACATGAGGCTTGGCAGGAGAAGGAGATAAGGTCAGATAAAGATTGGAATGAGATACTGATAGAAATACGGCTGGTTAGTCAGAAAGAGAGGGAACAAATAGGGAGATAATCAGAGAGATAGAGCTGATTAGGAAAGTAGGTAGAGAAGGTTGTAATGATATTGCAAGAGAAAAGAAGTATGTACTGAGAGAACTGTTGATGATTTGCTTATGTATAGTGTGTATCTGAAGAACTTCTGTTATTATTCAATCTGCTTCACTTCAATAAATAAGTTCTGTTTCTGTTCACAAGACAAGTGTTCTGACAGGCATCATTTGTATTGTGGATTGAGGTAATCGACTAGTGGCAGCGAGAAGAAAACATGACGTGAGCCTTTGAGAGAGAAAGACAAGCAGGGGCCACAAGGGCAAATGCCACGTATGTTTCATTAGTTGCCCATTCACATTACATCTCCCCTAAAGCGTCCCCCTCCCAACTACTTCTACCTAGCTGGTGTTCCATCCAGCATCAAGAAAATATTTATGATAATTATTATTTTCATTCTTTTTGGCACCTACAATAATACCATTTGGGCCACTACCTAGCAACTTAGAATATAGAAGGATTGTCTCCTTTTATTTTATTTTATTTTATTGCTTTCTAGTCTGAATGCTCTTGCAGTGGGTTAAAAGTTACAAGAATGAATGAACAGGTTAAAGCACCTTATTTCTGCAGGATATCCAGCCATGAGTACAATTTCAAGTTTGATGAAAAGGGAGTATGATCTATGTGCACTGTGTAACTTGGAACAAGCAAATAAACAACACAGTGACCTAATAAATTGCTTTCAGGATCATCAACAAGAGAAGATTAGCAGAGTCAATAAACAGCATCCATGTATACAACAGAAAACAATGGCAGTTCAGGGTCATCAATTTAAAGACAGCAAACATCCTTTATTTTAATCAGGATTCATGGATCTGCCTCAAGTTGCAAAGTGAGGTTTAAAAGTCAGTCAACCCACAGAACAACCAAACTGCAAAGTTTATTTTTAGTCGTGATGCTCACCATCATGCCTTTTGTAGGAAGATTTGAAAGAATGATAGAATTGTTCACTATCTTGGTAAAATAATTGTTTTTAGGGTAGTTTTTTTTTGCATATAGCATACATATGTGTGTATGTATATGTGTATATACATATACTGCTGGATAGCTCAGTGGCTTAGAGGCTGGGAATTCAATTCCCATCTGTGTCTCCTCAACAGAGGCTGGACTTGATGATATGAAGAGACTTTATCACATCTTGCTTTGTTTCATTTTGTCAATGATCCTCAGAGTGCAGGGGTTAAACTGCTACACAGCAGCCAAACTCTGTTCACAACCCAGGGTTCAAGCCCAGGCAGTTGGCTTAAGGTTCACTCAGCCTTCCATGCTTCCAAGGTCAGTAAAATGAGTACCCTGTTCACTAGCAGGGGGCAATGTGTAGCCTGCATAATTAACTTGTAAACTGTTCAGAGAATGCTTTAAGGGAGGAGGCGGGGCCAAGTTGGATGAAGACTGCAAATTGAGAGCTCTCTCTCAATTGTAACCACTGATGGAAGTTCTGTAGGCTTGAGATAGCCTAATCAAATTTTCCAGGAGAGTTAAATATATCCAAAGAAGAGAACCACCATCTGGGGAGCCCTTAGCTACCTCCATGTCTCAGAAGTTTGGCATTCTCTTTGGCACGACTCCGTACGTATCTGAAAAATTGACACAGTCCAGAAGGCTGGAGGAGAATGGATATGCAATTATATCCCTGATTTACAGACACCACTGTAAGCAATTTTTTTTATTACTACATCTGAGCTGAACACTTGGAAATCTACTACTGATATATGAAGGTAGTTGGGAGTAGTAAGCTGCAAGACTGCATTCAGAAGCGGACAAGTGAAGAGGATGGGAGGGAACACAGAATTTCATTAAAAGAGACTTTTCACCTGATGGATTGCTGAACTATCTGTCTGCTAAGTTCCTCTTAGAGACCCACCAGGATATTATTGAACGTTATTGAACAGTCTCATAACTCTAATCATTTAGATTATGCCTACACCCACCTGAAGTTTATTTATGCCTGAAGAAACCAGTATGTCCTGTACAGAGATGAAAGTAGAAAATGGGGGCTGCTCATAAATGAAGTAAACCCCTCCCCCCCGTGGTGGATTACAAAAGGGAATAGATGGGATTCTATTTTTTCTTTCTTCTTGATTTTATTTGTTTTGTTAAGTATGGTTGGGGGAGGAGTTGGAAAAGTAGTTTTTGGGGCTTTATTAAATTTTCCTGCTGTTCCTGAGACTCCGTGGTGACGCTAGAAGAGACAAGGAGCTTCTCTTCTGCTTTATCTCACCTTACCTTTTTCTACTCAAAGCCTGGAAAGGTGCCCCAAACTCTGAAGTAGCTGACTTTTGGCTCTTCCCCCCCCCTTTGTCAAGTCTAGACACAAATAGCTCTCTTGAAGCGGAGTAAGATTTACCATACTTATTATATTCAGGATATATTCTCCCCATTTGGAGGTGGTCAAGGAAAGTTTCCCCTCTTCATTAAGAACATTGATACTTTATTTGATACATTGTATATTGGGCGATCCCTATTTATTGGTTGCTCTCATATCCTTCCATATCTCTCAAGAAACCCAGTCTTCTTTATTAACAAAATAATATTTTGAGAAGCTCGTGAGCACCATGCTCAGCCAACAGACAGCCCATTTTGATAGAAAGTTTGATGAAATTAAGTCTGATATTTCAGCCCTGAAAATTAAACTGTCTGACCTCTCCAAACAACAGGAGGACAATAATTTACAATTGGGGCAAATGAAAGAGGATATTGCACAGCAAAATCAAGAAATGCAGAAGACAGCGAGATTAGCAAAGAAAATGGAGAAAAAAGTAATAGAACTTCAGAAGGACTTAGGTAAAGTTGAAACCTGATGAAACCAACATGAAATACCGATGACTCAAATCCAGATGGAGAATGCATCACATATTCTGAGAATACAGAATGTACCAGAAACTCAAAATGAAGACCTCATAGAAGTTACAACTGATTTACTATCAGACTGGGTGAATTGTGAGAAGGATGAAATTAAGTGGTCAAAAAAAATATCCTCAGTATTTATTTAAAACAATCATCTCCCAAGAGAGGTACAAATTAGATTCATTAAAATCACATATAGAGACAAAATTCTGAAAGCAACACAAGATAAGCAATTTGTAAGAGAAGGAAGGAATCTGAAGACATTGAAACATATTGGGAAAAAAGAAATAAAAGGAACATGTATGAGAATGGATAAAGACTATCAGTTACATAATCAATAATTAGAATAACAACATATCTGTCTGAATTTGATTTTTCCCTCTCGCTCACTGTTTATATTTTTTTTCTGATATGTGGAACTACTACTAGAAGGATCATTAAAATCACATATAGAGACAAAATTCTGAAAGCAACACAAGATAAGCAATTTGTAAGAGAAGGAAGGAATCTGAAGACATTGAAACACTGGGAAAAAAAGAAATAAAAGGACCATGTATGAGAACGGATAAAGATTATCAGTTACATAATCAATAATTAGAATAACAACATATCTGTCTGAATTTGATTTTTCCCTCTCGCTCACTGTTTATATTTTTTTTCTGATATGTGGAAGTACTACTAGAAGGAAATGTATAGAATTACTATGGAAAATATTGATCTGTAACGTATCCGTTCAAATCCCTATCCCAGCTGCGCCTTACCTTACCCTACCTTTACAAAGAAAATAAAAAATATTATAAAACAAAACAAAACAGACAGAGCTTTAAGCACTATGAGGTGGTATATAAGCAACATCCTTTATATATGCATGTGTATATATATTTATTATCACACCCACACAAGCAAAATAACAAGTATGTGCTGGCCCCAGATTTGGTCATACTTAGAAGGAATCCATTGAAATCAATGACTAAATTCCAGTAAAGATGACTTAGGGCTTGTCTGCATGTAGCAATTGGAGTGGGATGGATTATACTACATAGGGAATCTAGGAAGTCTGGTGTGCCATTCAGTGTAATCCTCACATTCAATAGGCATACAGACCTCAAGAAACCCTTTTTGATCAGTAGTAGCTTACTGTCAACTTGCAAATTTTTTGAAGTGGCTCTCACATGTACTGAAAATAGATCAAAACAGAGTGATCGTACCTGCACCAAAAAAGTAGAAGCCCTTGAGAGGGATTAGAAAGATGTGGGTAGGGCAGCTCTGGGGAAGGGCTGTTTCACTCTAGCAAATAATCTGATTACTATCTTTAGAAGCAAACCATCTCATACTTGCAGCAGTACAAACAGCAGGCTAAACAACCATGTAGTCAACATCTAATTTACAATCTGTCAGCCGAACTGGTTTACTGTGAAAGATCTACTAACAGAAGGGCTGAAAAATGGATGGGGAAGCAGTAGTGAAGCAGAAAGCTTCACTTTCAAGCCTCCCTCAGTTCTGAGAAAGATCTACAAGGCTAGTACAAAGCTAGGCCAGGATTATGCTAGTACTAAGTAATTTCCATGTAGTTTCAATTAAGCACAGCTTCACATGGTTTAGGCTTGGTTCATCTTCTCCTGTTAGAATTACCCTTCCTGTAGTGACAGCAATGTAGCACCATTAACTCTCCTAAATTTTAGAAGCAGCTGAAAGTTTAACAAAAAGGTAATAAGTATTCCTTTGAGACAATGCTCTTAGTTCATACATCTAATTTCTTATTTATTTTTTAAAACATTGAGGCAACTTAATGGTGACAGTTCTATATTTCTATTTATATATTACAGAGCTGGAATTATCAGAACCTCATGGTGCAATGGTTAACCTGCAGTCCTGCAGTCAAAAACTGTGTTCAAAACCTGTGTTCGATCCCAGCTGATTCAGGTAGTTGGCTAAAGTTTTTTCCAAGGTTGGCAAATTGAGTATCCAGTTTGCTGTGTGTGTGCACGTGTGTGCAATGTGTAAGCCTGCATAATTAAAACTGTAAACTGCTAAAGAGTGCTTTAAGCACTATGGTATATAAGTAGCATGATTATTTTATATGCTTCATTTTACATAGCTTTGAAAAGCAATATATAAAATAAAGCAACAGCAATAGCTGAAAAGAAAAGAGATTTTTAATGAAATGGGTAATGAGGGAGCAAACGCAGTCACTGTTGTTGTGCGTGATAACATTTACATTGTTGAGCCATATAAGCTTATTACCTTTCTCACTGTGATGATGCCAACTTGATAAGTAGGATCTGTGGTAATATCAAAGACATCCAGTCCATCTCCATCTACAAAGCTGTATTTCATTTCAGCATTAATGCCTTCATCTAAATCTTTAGCAACAACGCGGCCCACAGTAGAGCTGACCGGAGCAGATTCCAGTACGCTCATCTGATAATGTTCTGGGGAAAAGAAGTTAAAGAGTGGATTAAAAAGAGAGAGAAATGAATGCAACAATAAGTAACCAGGAGGACAACCCAGCTAAAGCTAAAACTTTCAAGTCCAACAATGAGAGAGCTAAGTGAATAAAATCTGAAAATAGTTTACCTTTGCCTGGATCATGCCCTAAATGAATACATACATTGAAAAGATTTATAGAAATTTAATACACAGACACTGTCACGAATATATAGAGAATTAGATCTGAATGTTTCTTGTATGTATCCTTATGAAAACGCACAGAGTCAACTCCAGTGGAGAAAGACAGAACAAATTGAAACCTTCCTTGCTGAGTTTCAGTAAATTTCCGTGCATATCAGGAGATGTATAAATAGTTTTCATCAAAGCATTCATACTTCCTGTGGCAACTTGAACTGAGAGCAAAACTGATGCATAACTGATTTGTTCTAATGGCTGGTCTGGAGAAAGACAATTCTACAGTGTTAAGAGTCCTCTCTTGACCTTTATGAATATACAGTACTGCAGTTTGAATTGATTCATTTTGCTACCATCTCTCACTGTATGATTTCTTAACTAAAGAGTCTGCACTTATTTATCGTCTTTAGACATAGAGAATGATATGATTCATTACCACAGGCTCTTGGAGCAGAACAGGGGGGATGGCCATATATAATTATGTTACTGAAAGGCAAATTAAGCTGGAATACATGAGTGGTGTGGCTGGTGACTTTAAATTGTACAGAATTTGATTGAGGAAGTAGAAATGGAAATTGGATTCTATTGGAAGTCATAGAGCTTTGCCCAAAAACACAGAAATCCTCACCTTCTCAAGTAAAGGCTTCAAAACACAGAGTATCAAGCCTGACAAGGTGTATCTTAGCCCTCAAAAGCTTATGCCTGATTGCTACAGAAGGTGAAGGTCAACCTATCAAGTATTTCCCTCCCCTTTTCCACATCTTTCCCTCTTTCCCGTCATTGACTGAAATGGAAGGGAGGTAACCACACCGCCTACAAGCTGGCACAATTTCGTAGCACATTCAGGATCCTAACAGAGAAATGAGGAAGCTTAGGACTTCATTGATCCCACCACCCACGTTCCCCCGTATGCCCTGTTGCAACCCCTACCATGGATATTTTAGCTTGAGAAATTCTTTAAAATTTGCATTTGGAACAAAACTAGCAAGTGGGGGTGTAAGTAAGGTGGGAGGATTCCATGTATCCTTTCTCTAGAAACCACTTTGAGGTAGGTGTTCCTGTTAAGAGTTGTTGGGAGATGAAAGGGTGGGAGTAGTGTGGAAATTATGGCCTGAAAGAGAGGTGACTGCAAAAGGGGAATTCATATGCCTTCCTTTTGAGGTTCAAGCTACCCTACCATCCTCATCGGCCACATACTACCACCTCAAAAAGTATTTGTCCCATAGGAGAACACAACCAGAGTCATTCTGTTGATTTCTTAATAGAATTCTTCACTACTTGCTTGGGGAAATGGTTGAGAACAAAATTTACAGAGCCATACAAGCCCAAACTAATCAACAGGAAGATGATAACATGTATGAAATGTGATGGCTGTGACCATACTTCCTGGAATGTGCCAATACTCAACCTGATCCTTTCCCCCAAGGATGTTGTTAACTAGAAGTGCAACATGTTACTTCCTCACCACCCAAACAATTAAAACAATCACCCAGTGGAGGAGGGGGAACAAGTAGTAATAAAATAGTGGTTTTTAAAAATAATATTATTTTATTAAATAAATGCCCCAAGCTTAGCCCATGTATGGGGTGCTAAGATGACCTATGCTCTATAGGATGAACTAGGTTTCTGTGGCACTGTTTCACAGAATTGAAGATGTGTCTGCAGCACCTGGAAAACATCTGTACCTCCTACAGATTTGTAGAAGAAACCTGTAGGTACACTAGGCAGAAGGTTCTAATAAAGCAGGTCTTTCTTCTTATGCAAGGCTCCGATATTGTGCCACTAATTAGTTAAAGAACATGACCTTTATTTCATATGTCAGGAATAAAGTACCATTCTTTTTACTAAATGTTGTAAAAGAAGTTACTACTTGCCAAGTAAAGAGGCAATATGAAACAAAGAAAAATTAAATTAATTTAATTTTAAAAATCCTTAAGGATCATCAGTACCCCTTTTCCTGTGCTTTTGAAGCTTTCCAGAGGCTTGCAGCTATTCACCCACTTTGCTTTACACTCAACACATTATCTCCTGTACTAGAATGGAACTGATATTACCATTTATTATATATATATTTTAAAAACGTATCTCTATAAATGGTAATATCAGTACTATTCTAGTACAGCAGGTAATTATGTTATCTGTATCTGGGGCTTTTAACCCCCGGAAGCAAAGAGATACAGTTAAAATGTTGTAATTTCCAATCTCTGAATCCTCCCACAATGTTCAACAGCTCTTTCCTTTCCAGTATTTTTTCACTTGGTAAAAATGTCTCTCCTGCTGCTCTCACCTGCCTCTGATCCTCTCTATCTCTCCCCTTGGTCCTATTTTTCACCTACCAGTTCTCAGTTGCACCAACATTATTTGCCTTCCTTTCCATCATGTAAACAACTTAACACATCTCTCTGGTCTCTTCCTTTGTACACTGAAATATACAATTTCTCCACCCCCAAACCACACACCAATTCTTTGTTCTAGAACTCTGATGAAGTGTTTTTAGTATTTTCAAGGACTGCATGTATGTTCCTGGGTGTGTATGGCAGGAATGCCACCCTAAAGGTTACAGAGAAATTTAGGAAATAGATGAAATCTCAGAATACCAGGAACATAGTGGCACTGCGGGTTGAACCACAGAAGCCTCTGTGCTGCAAGGTCAAAGACCAGCAGTCATAAGATCGAATCCACACGACGGAGTGAGCTCCCGTCACTTGTCCCAGCTCCTGCCAACCTAGCAGTTTGAAAGCATGTAAAAATGTGAGTAGATATCACCTCGGTGAGAAGGTAGCGGTGTTCTGTGTCTAGTCACGCTGGCCATATGACCACAGAAGCTGTCTTCAGACAAACGCTGGCTCTATGGCTTGGAAACGGGGATGAGCACCACGCCCTAGAGTCGGACATGTCTGGACTAAAGATCAAGAGGAACCTTTACCTTTACCAGAATATCAAGGTGGGCTTGAGTGATCTTACCTTTAAAGATCAGGTGGATTAAGGGAATCTTCCTTTTAAGAGGGAAAACAAAAAGCTTTGGTATTGCTTCCGGCACTGGCCCTTTCTCATTTGGGGCATAATGTCCCAATGAAACAATGCTACGCATGGATATACATCGTGCTATGCTATTGCTCCTACTTCCAAAGACATTCTTAGAGGTGAAAAGAGAGATGCCCTTGATTGCCCAATGGCTATTCTTCAAATAGAGTTGTTTTATCTGCCTTGTCCCCACCCCACCACCTGCCCCCTGATTTCCATGCAAGAGCCTCTTGAAAAAATATTTGTGCTGCTTTTCTCTCCCTTTTCTTTCAAAGCCTCCCCCCAAACCCAACTTTTCTGTGAAATCTTTGACACAGCACCTTGGTTTTCCTCCTGTTTTGAAACTAAAGCTCAGAAAATGTCACATATCCTGGTTGCTTTTGCCTGTATTTTCTTCCTCTCCCACTTGACTCTCCTGAAAGTTTGCTGGGGGTGGGGAGGGGCTCAGCTATGAAGTGCCAGGCACATTGCTGCTGTTATAATATAAATGAGAACAAATACATAAACAACTTTATAGTTTGTGAGGTTCGTTAAAACAGCAACAGCAACAACAACACCAAGGTAAATCCCAGTGACCTGCAGAGTATTAACCAACACTTTCCATGTAGAAATCTAGGAGAGGAAATAATGGTGCATGAGGTGAAGCATGTCATGGGATTGGGAAATCTCCATTGAAAAGCTGTGGGAACCACAAAATACTGATTCATGACTGGTACTTACTCTGTGGAAATCTGGGTGGGTTGTCATTTACATCAGAGAGAGAGATATTGACTGTGGTGGTACCGGCTAATCCTCCCAGCTGTCCACCCATATCTTTGGCTTGGATTATCACTTCATAATATTCTTTTGCTTCTCGGTCCATGTTCATTAGTGCTGTTCTAATTAATCCTATGACAGTAAAAGGCGAAAAAATACAAAGAAGCAAAAAGATATGTCACTGAACGCATGTAATAAAGTTATGACCATTTGCTTGAAAATACTTCCTTGTCAAAAGAGATTGAGAAGGAGGGGAGGAGAAGGAAAGAAAGAGGGAGAGATTTCTTGAAAAATCCCTTACAGAATAAGGTCAAGCTCTGCTCTCAAGTCATCATGGCTTAGATGCCAGTGTTGACCTTCATTGACATCATTTTTGATTCATTGAAGGAATTGCTGCAAACCGTTCATGCTTCAGTTAGTAAATGAAAATTCAGTACCAAGTCTTCCTTTTGGTTCTTAGAGACTCCAGAAAGAAACAGTTTATTATTTTATTGTATATCTGTGCCATCAACCTGGGTAATTTGAAGGAGGCATTAATTTTAGGCTGAGCCATAAGAATGTACTTGCTTATTTTCTGAAACTATTCTGGTTCTATAATAGTAAATGTGGGAAAAAGAGGTAAAATCTTTAACTTTAAGTTACTATTTCTGTTATTTTTTGTTATTTCATGTTATCTTAAATATCTTTTTAAAAGTTTATACAGTACTGTACTGAGATCTTGATAATATACCAATATACTTGAAGTTAACCATTTATTTAACTAATTAATCAATTAGAGGGCAGGGAACAAATCATTTATTTTATTTTATTTATTGTATTTATACCCCGCCTATCTAGTCATTTCAACCACTCTAGGTCTCAGCTACCATAATTTAATTAGTGGGCAGCTACAGTGATTACTCTTTTGTGGCAACGTAGATACAGTACTAGGCATACATCTATGAAATGTGGAACTTGATGTGAAATTAAGTCAGCTGCAATTAGCAATACACACATGATGTGATTGAATTTGTGCTACAACTGCTGCATATACTGTAAATTCTTGAGTGTATGTAAAGGTACAGGAGTAGCCCAAGTTCTCCTGCTACTGGAAGCAAAAAGCTGCTCCCTACATGGCCACCACTGCACCCCCAACATCATTTATATGCCCCACTGTCTTACCTCAAGAGAGAAAAATGTACCCCCACCCCACAGAAAATAGTATTGTCTAATGAGAGGGAAGAAAAAAAATAGTACAACAGCTGGGTGTTTTTTAAAAATGCAGTCCCACAATTTCAGATGATTCCCCTTGATTTTTATGAAGATACCTCAGAGCCAGTTAATCAAAAAAACAAAATAATGAGCTATTGTGCTACTTGTCTCCTCAGTAACCAGTGACCGGGGTGGGGGTGGTGTGGGCAGAGGCGTGTCAAAAAGTGTGAACAGGTGTTGCTCCTGCTGCCGCCTCCGATGGGGGTATCTTTCTCCATGGGGTGGCATGGAGAATGGCATGCTGGCAGCAGGGGAGGGGAGCACATTTGCTCCCTTAAGTACTACACCACTGGAGGCATCCGCCGCAGTGTGCCTAATGGCAGGGCTGGCCCTGTGAAGGTGGAAATAGTCATAGAAACAAAAGCAGAGTTCTTCCATTTCTAGTTAACATCCAGGATCAGTAAAGTAAAACGTCCTTTTTGGGAGCTTTACTGAAAAAGAGACATGAAGTGACAGCTTGGTTTTTGTAACAAAGCCTATCAAGAGCTTCTGGGTAGGGTTACTAATTTTATTGAATACTACCGCTCATCCCGGCAGATGAGTGAAATCCTCACTTTAAACCAGTACAGACTTTCAGATAACATCTTACCATCTCACCTCTCTTCTTTTTCAAAGACCCCAATAGAACACTATCATCAACTTACTTTTATCCTTCATTTCGCTTGCACACATTCTCCCCCCATACAAACAGTTTCTCAGGACTTTTGTTTTTCTGCCATTGTGCCCAGCAAAGCTAAAGAACAAAGACTATAAAACATATACAGTAACAAACAAAAAGCATGGCATTTCTTTCTTACCACAGACAAAACAATTTCTTTCTTACCATAGACAAAACAAAACAATTCACATTGTTAAATGATGCCACACGACCCTGTGTTCTCATATACAGGATAACATTCTAAAAGTTACTCCAAGTGCTCACCTAAGTCCTACATTGCCCTTCACACTTTATGAACATTCTGTTTCTAGATCACTGCAGCTTAAGGTGATATATCTTGTGCTATCAGTTTTCATTGAATTGAAGCAAATGCCTATGGCCTTCATGTCTCCACTGAAGTGATCTGGTGTCTGATTACTGTTATTGATTAGACTTGTCATCCATTATTTATCTAGGGAAATTTAAAATGTTTCCTTAAAGTGTTTCAGCCTCACACCAACCATATGATATGAACTAGGGTCAATTTGGACCAGAGTGAACAAACTGTGGTCCTCTACATATAGCTGAATTGCAAGTCTAAATATTCCTCACCAGTGACTGTTTTGGCCAGGGTTAATGGGTGTTGCAGCTGAGCAACATCTGGGTAGTGACACTTCAGGGTTAGGTTTAGGTTTAGAGGTTTTTGTTTTTGCATGGATTTCTCCCTCAAGTGGTGAAAGTTGTTCTTTTTTTTTGCAGCACATGTTTTTTTGCATCTATATATTTTATTTATTTGTTTAATTTATTTAAAATATTTTTACCCCACCTTTTTCCTTGAAAGGACCCAAGGCAGGTCCTTTTTAATATATAGTATGTTTTGCTTTGTGACTGATCAATGGAGGATAATTGTTGGCTTCATTTGCAGGTTTGATTGCTGAGGCACTAGTTCTGAAGACATACTGTCACGGGGAGGGAAAAACAGGTTAAATTAAGGGAATCCATACTCGCCCAATGCACATTGACTGACCAGAGGCTATGCCAGCAGCTTAATAGATCAGCAGGATTTAAAACTGGGATTCCCTTTTCTATGCTTAGCACTGCAGTCAACCAAACCCATGAGGTAATATTGTTGTCTCTTCTTCTATGTAAAACACAGCTGGTATTCATTTATTTGGATATAAAATTTCTTGCACTATAGTTTCAGGTAGGAAATGAGCGACAATCTTTCATAGCATTGAAAGATTATGGTGCCGTTTCATGTGCATCTAGGCAACGTTGATTTTCTGGATTTAGCCCGCACAGACTAATTGTCTATTGCTGAGTCCGTGCTAACTGTAGGCTTTGTTGAGGATTTTCAAGTAGCCTTTGGCCACCAGAGATCAACAGGGCTTATTATACTGAGTGACCCATTTGTGCATCTCAAAAGACTATGCTGTTATAAGTTTTTCCAATGTCAGTTCCATCCATTTTGTATTTTTCTTTTCATCTTTATTATACAGTAGTTACATAGCTTTGCTCTCCTACAGTTCCATGCAATGTGTCCACACATTGCATGTTCATTTTTTTTTTACTTCTGTTGTATCATGCTTGAATTTCTGCTGGAATAGAAACATCACTCCTTATTCAATACTTCTTGCTGTAAAAAAGGGGGGTGGGGTGGGACACACACAGTCATTGATGACTTGGATTTTTCAAGATGAAGCCTATGGTGAATACTGAATGAAACCAAAAAGAAGAAAAAAACTACACTGTTGACTCAAAACAACAAATAGCAGTGAATCAAATTACCTGTTCGGGAGTCTACTGAGAAATATGGTTGTCCTTGGATAATGCTGTAGACTACCCTGGCACTGTTCCCATAGGTTGGATCATCAGCATCTGTTGCTGTCACTTGGATAACAGAGGTACCTGCCAAAAATGGTGTAGACCGCTGTTAGATTTGCAGTTGTGAAAGAAGGACACAGATCCAACTAGTTTCACTAATAAATGCACTGCTCCCAGTAGCTTTGCGTATTCTCTTTCTGAAGCTCAAAAAATTTACACACACAACCCACTAGCACTAATGAAAATGCAAGGCACAAATCCATCAGGCAACAATGACTCAGTACATAATCTGTGCAGAAACAACACTTCATAGTGTATTAAAAGTAGTCTTTTGCCACTTTCCCTCTATCATGTAAGTTCTGCTCTTTTAAAATATGCTTTTAAAATTCAGATAGTAGTTTGCTAATGAAGGAAAAGATTGTTACTGAAGATTGATGCAGAAGAGCAGATCAGATTTTAAAGAGGAGAAAGATGTATACAAAATCCTTCAAACCAACTGTATCCCCACCCTAACTCAATGAGATTCCAGTAAACCATCTCTTCTCAATTTAGAACATAAAATGAAGAACATAGCAGCTGGCAGACCAAAATTGTCCTGCTGACTTTTGAACTGAACTCATTCTAAACAATTTTTTTACTCATTCTGTCACTCTTAAAACAGGAAAAACTGTGGGTCAGACTTGATATGATTTGGATTCAGAAATATTCAGAATTCACAGGATAATGCTGTATTTGGATAATTCTGAATATATCTGAATCCAATTATGATATTTCTCAGTATCTGTAATAATAATACCTAGTATTTGGAATCCCATTTACTTTTACATATTAAAAAACAAAAGGCTAGTTTTCTGCTTCCTAGTGGAAGAAGTGAAAGTGAAACCTATTTTCAGGCATCCTAGATGGGGGCTGGAGTGAGAGCAAAACCTGTATGTTTGTTTACAGCAATGAAATCTATAAGCAGGCACAGACGCCAGAAGGCATTTTTTTTCACACTGCTTCTTTCCAATTGAAAGGTGGGCATAGCTGCTTATAAATTCCAAGCATTTGCAGTTATAATATGCTCTGGTGCAAGCCTGCACCGCAGCAGTTTTCTTTGTGTCCTTTTCTGAACCATCAATTTACATTTACATTCCCTACATTTCATTCTATACTGCTTACTTAAAATAGTTAGGAATAAGATTTACTGTTAGTAGATTTTTAGACTGATATAAATCAACATGGAAATATATTAGGTTTAGCCTCCTTAGAGATATATCAGACAGAGAAATAAGATTTTCTAATAGATAGATAGAGAGATAAATAAAGTTAATAGCTTGTGTGTGTGTGTGTGTGTGTGTGTGATTTTCATTAGAAGAGTTTGTGTTCTGCTGTAGCAGATTCAGATATTGTTCTTTGTGTAGAGTCTGCAGGCTGTACAAAATATGGGTATGGTAGAGGCAGCAGGCACTTGGGGAAGGCTGCAGGAATACCGGCTGCACTCACTGCAGCAGTGAGTGCAGCTCCGAGAGGAGCAGGACAGGAAAATGACAGCCTACAACTGCTATGCTTCAAACAAAATCTGTCACCCAACTGCTCTGTTCAGCACTGACCCTATGAAAGTGCAACAGGCAGCAATACAGTGTGTTTGTGTCTGCTAAGTAGGTGGCAGAGAAGCATCTGGTTCAAGGTGGGATAGATATGGGTGATCATCAGACATGTTCCAGTGACATCTCTGTGCAACCCAGCAAGGGCAAAAGGCCAAAATAAAAATAAAAATGGTGAAGAACCCACTTTTCTTCAAAGAACTGATGTGCCAGAGAAGGACAAGGATGGCATTAGCACTCAGATTGACATGTGAGTTTGGGCAGCAGCAGTGCTGCTGCTTTTGTGGTTGGGAAAGAGATGTATCTAGAGTACCAGGCATTGCCTTCCATATCCGTTCCATGCAGTTCCATCATATTCAAGGAAGGGTTTACTCCTAGCTCCCATTCCGAGCCAATCTTTCCTTTGCCAAGCACTGTGGTTGGTGGGAACTCCTCTTCAACTCTGGGGCAAGAGCAGCAGGGTCCTGTCCTCCAGAGACACCACTCTAAAAGAAGGACAGGGCAGAGGCATACATGCAAGAGTGCTACAAGCCAAAACAGACCAATCCCTTGTCTTACTGGGCTGAGAAGGAGTCTTTTTGGAGAGGCCTGACCAAGTTGGTAGTGAACTGTTGTCTTGCCTATCAAGTAGTGTGCCCAGTGAGAGCCTGTTCTCCCAGGCAGATCCATACTGATCATGCCTAGAATCTGGATCTGTGGAAAAACTTAGTTTCCTACCTACCATTGCTGGGCCTCCTGAAGTCCCCTTTAAGTAAGAGAATGGCACACTCTGCTCACAGTACTAGGTACACCGTGCTTCAGTCTGTTGACTCCTCCTTCTGCCTCTTTCATTCTTTCAACTGCTACTATATGACTGTACTCACTCACTCAATGCCGCTGCACTCCATGCTGCTGCAATGGTTCCTACTCCCCACAGGCTATCTGCTTCTCCAATCTGCCAGCCAGTGCTGCCCAGGGTATTTGCCCACTCCTGAATGCAACCTGTCCTCTGCTTCCCCAATGCTGCTGGTATTTCCCACTGTTCATGGTTCAATCAGTATGTTCATGGCAGTCATTTCCTGTTGTGTGTTGATGTGCACTCTTTTTGTTTGGCATAATCACTTGAAGAGAGGACTGTGTCAGAAAACACAGGAAAATTCTTTTAAAAGTTTGTGTTTTTTAAAAGAGGAAAACAACGAGTATATAGTGTTCATATTGACTCTAACGGAGTTCCAGATATTCAGAAATTCTGAATTTTTAAAATTTCATAATCCAGAGGGTTGCAATTTCAAATTCTGAATTTTAATGCTAATAGACATCTTTACTCAAAACACAAGAGAGAATGCCTATGGAGATTTCTTAATTTACGGCAATTCACTGCTAAATGTTACGCCTTCAGCATAGATGTGCAACATTATTTAGGCCAATCCATTGCTTTAAATCCCACTGATTACTAACAGAATTGAATATATATTGTTTTCTCTTACTCAAATCAACCAAATTTAAAGATACTTAACTTTGGTCACATTACACAGTATTGTGCGGCACTGATGTTACTTCTTAGAATGCTTTCCCTCAGAATTTATCCTTGCAATTTTAGGGAATAGATGTTTTGTTTAAAGGCAAAAGCTTGGTGTTACATACAGCACTGATGTTACCTGTCTGTCATGGGTTGGAGGGAAAGTTCCATCCTATGGGGAGTGGGAGGCGGGACATCAGGAGGAGGGGCTGTACTGTATATATATGTGAAGCCTGTGTGGAGAAGTTAGGAGAAGCTGGAGGAGAGCTGAGAGAAGAAGCTGGTGTGGGAGTCTGTGTGTCAGACAGGGTACTACTGTGTGTCAGTCAGTACCAACCTGATAGGTTCAGGTGTCTGTATGGTTAGCCAGAACTGATAGGTTCAGGGTCTGTGCTTCAAGTTAAGTGTTCTGTGTGAACCAAACTGTGTGTATGTATGATTGAGACTAAGCCACGTTACTGTATCTTATTCACTTGATCATTTTATTTTCCCTGTGTGTTATGTAAATAAACCTTGTTCTTTTATTTGTTTAAAAATCCATTCCTGGTCTGTGTGACTCCTTACAGGGAATGGTTGGTGGCAGCTTAGTGAAACTGTGGCATATCCCAGTAGGTCTGGGTTTGTCACACTTGGTTCATGGAATTCTCATAACAGCTGTTTGTTACACTCACCCACCCACATTCACAAAATCATGTCAGCTCATTTTATTTTATATAACCACAGGTTCTCAAAAACTGGAACTATAAAGATACTTGGGACTTAATAATAGTAACCACGAGGATCACTCAAAACAAAGTTTAGCATAGATTGGACAAATAAAAAAGCAACAATAAATGGAAGGATAACATTATACGATCTAAAGCAGAAGTGCATGTGTATCTGCCTGACTAATGCTTCTGTAAACAGGAACAGAAGGACATTAAAGAAGTGGGGGAAACACTTTTACATGAAACTATAACTACATGAAATGTATTCTCTTTGGTATGGTAATAACCACATCATTTGAGGTCAGGAGGGCAAGATTTCAAGATTGCCTGATAAATTACAAAGGGTTTCAAGATTATTTTCTGTGCTATATTTGATGTTACAAAAGACCCAAGGATTTCTTACCCCATAAACCTTTCCAGGTTTAAGGTGCTTTAAAACAACCTTTGCTTTTCCTTGATCTATGGGCAGTCAAACTCTCTTTTACTTTCTGGTATAAAACTGGCTGAGGCTCTTGACTGTTTGCTGGTAATGATGGGCCCCATGGGTTCGTTAAATAGCCTAGAAATCAATGAAGCAGAAGGCTTGCTACTTCAGGTCCTCAGCGTCTCATCTTTGCACTCTGCAGTGTATGTATGTATGTACTGCAGGCAGTACCATGTGCCGGCTGAGCATTAGGGCATGTTCCAGTATCATTCGTATGGTATCATTAATTGGCCTGCACGACTTCTGATCCAATACAATCAACCCTTGGCCCTATATATTAGCCCATCATGTTTCCTACTTTTTTTTGGCCATCTGCCTGGAATTACAGGACAGGGCTTGGAGCAGGTATTATCAGGCATGCTGCAGGCCTGTGATGAAGAGCAAAGCTCTACTGTTAGGCAGAGTGAAGCATCTGCCTCAGGCAGTGGATGTGAGGGATCAGGAACAATACATATTTCTGTGGAAATACCAGCAATTCCCCCCATGTTGGAGGACATAGCTGAGTCTGCCATGCCGCCTGCTTTAACACCCGTGAACTTAGCTCGCTGTCTCAGGATACTGAAATGTATTATCCCATCAACAGTGCAGAACTGCCAACCTAGTTAGCTTTCGCATAAGGAGTAGGTGCTGGCTGGTGGTGAAATTGTACATTTGAAGGTACAGGGACCTGTAATGAGAGTTCCCTCCACCCAAAATGCAAGCAGCAGGATTGGATTACATCCCTGTGTTGACGAAAAGTGTTTGTAAAGAAAATGACTCATTTAAGACCAAATGCACTCTCAGATTCTTTGCATTAGAACTCTGATAGCTTGCAAAACTACGTTCTTGTTGGGAAAGTCCCTTTCTTCCCAGCTACTGGGAGGACTGCAGCTAATTTCAGAAGTAAAAAGGAAGCTCAAGGGCTGTGGTGGGGAACGGCACAGGTTATTCAGAGAGTCTGGGGGCTTTGACCCTGTGAGTCCTGACCCAGGGGTGCAACTCGTGCAATTGTCTTATTTGTTGAAGTGTCTTGAGGACAGTTGTCAGGATGGTGGTGCAATGGAGACAATTGCTCAAACCTCACAAAGAGAAGAAACAAGATCACCCTTGGTGAACAGTGCATGTTGTTGGGAAGGCAGAGAGACATTGGCGTGAAGTGCAATGACAAAAGGGAGGAGGAAGATTCAAATTAACGGTTCGTCCCTGTGTGACTTGGAGAATGGACCAGCACTTAGGATGCACTCTCTTCAGCAGGGCTAGAGCTTGTAATTGTTACTTTTTGAACTATGAGTCCCAGAATCTGCAGCCAGCATGATCATAGGCATGCTGGTTATGGGATTCTATTACTTTTGGTCCAAAATTTGAACATTTCCAGACTTTGGAAAGGCCAAAAGTGATTCAAACCTAATGTAAGGAATTTGTGGCCAAAGGAGAAAATGCAGAATCCCACCCCTGGGAGGATTTCCACTTCTGCAACAAGTTGTGGTTAGGTTTGAGCTTATTGGCCTTCTTAGATACATCCCCACCCCCAACAAGAGAGGCTCAAGATGCCTTACAACAACTGAAACAAAAGTTGAAAACAGTATCAGAACAGATGACATACTCTGTCTCACACTCTCTCTGTGTATGCAGAATATGTATGTATATATGTTTTACACTATATATATAGTATAAAACAATACATCTCTCCCAAGGATACCTAATAATCAGACATAACAATAATATTTAAACATTGGCTAATTACATCCTATAAAATGCATGGGAATAGAGGATTAAGACTGCATCCTAAAACGTGCCAGGCATGCATTACTGGGGACAGCATTCCAAAGAGCATGGGGTGGGAATAGGATGAAGATGAATGAAAAAGCCCAAGCCTTTTACCATTCTCTAAGCCTCTTCTGAAGGAAGATCACAGATGTTGATCATAATGAAGTATCACTGGGTTAAATTAATCTCTTTCCCCACATTAAAAGAATTGATTGCATTGATATAAAAGTCTTATTTTCATAACTTTAGGGTCACTCATTATTTGGTATTTCTGCCTTCCTTTTTCATACTTTATAAGGGAAAACAGAATACAGTAAGGAAAAAAACCCCAACAAACCAGTTTTCTCTACAGGATTCAATATTGTATAACCAATCCTGCTACTCTGTTATGCTCCATTATCTGAAATTAAAGTCCAGATTGCAAATATAATTTCCATTAGTTCTTTTGCATTGCTTTTGTTAGGAAGCAAGAACAAAGACCCAAGATTTCTTTGGAGTATTTATTCATCAATTTTGCATGAATCAAAAATATGCCGTTAAAGTCTCCCTTACCGACTGGTGACATTTCTGGTACAGAAGCAATGTATGGTCCATCGAGGAACTTGGGTTCATTGTCATTGATATCTTGGATTTTGATGATAAATTCAGATTCTGGTTCCATTGGTCTACCTGTTCTTCTATCCAAGGCTTGAGCTCTTAATGTATACTGGGATCTCTCTTCCCGGTCAAGTCTCTGGATTGCATGGATATCTCCAGTGGTGTCATCAATGGTAAACACAACACCCGCTCCTTCTCCTGAGAGAATATATTTGATTGATCCATCTCCTCTATCCATATCAGAATGGAGCTGCAACAAGTAACCAGACATATTTAGGGATTGATTACATTCATTACACTGGGAAGTATTTGATTTATTACACAGAATATTTTGATCTTATGACAGAGAAATTGAACACTAGATATTCTAATCATCAACAATGCCACCAATGTTGTCATCATCATAGTTTTATGCCACTTGTTTTAATTGGCAATCTATTTTATAATCCATATTTCACTTATGCTTACAACATATTTCAATTGTTGTAAGCTGCCCAGAGAGACCTTTGTGTAGAGTGGGCAGCATATAAGTTAAACAAACAAACAAACAAAAATAAGCTGTGAGATAATAGAACCACATTCCCATTTTACAGATAAGGAACTGACAGGATCCATCAATGAGATCACTATTCAATCTCCCAGGTTGGCAATTAGTTAGCAATCCTATTTTCCTTTCAGGTACTGGTAATGAGGAGTCAAGATTCAAAGGCTTATCCTTTGTGCTTGTTCTCAGTCTTTTGAATAAAAAGATTTGAAGTGCTATGGCCTCATAACTGTTTGGATGTGGGGCTGAATGACCAAGCATAGGCAAAGTTTAAAAATTTGGAAAATTGAAATGCGCAAGATTTAGATGATGTCTGTGATATTGTAGAATGAGCTGGTGGGGGGAAGTGACTACTCTTTGCTCAGCTTACCATTACTGAGCAAAACGAAGTGTAAATATATGTAAACTGCTTTTACCCCCATTCAAGGAATTGCTTTTCATTCCCTTCTCCTGTGTTCCCTAAACTGTGCAGACCTCTTTAGCAGAGTTTAGGCTGCAAGTGCTCTGGAACAGATATCTGTCCTCTTATTAGATAGATGCTTAAGAGACTCACCAATGACAGTGTTGTATTTCTCTGTGCAAAGAGTAGTCAGTTGACTAGATGGGTGGGGTATAAATGAATGAATGAACAAACAAACAAACAAACAAATAATGAACAAACAAACAAACAAACATCATTTCCAACATTTCCTCCCACTTGGCCAACTTTCTGTCACAGTGTAGGATGAGCCATAGCAAAAAGGTAGGATGCAGATAACAACCAGATGGGTTCTATGGTACAAAGTAAGCAGTCTGGAAAGTGGGGTAAAGTTAGGGGGAAACATACATCATGGGCCCACACTAAGGATGTAATGAATACTTGCAATTATTCTTGCCCTTGAGGAAAAAAAGGGTTCCTTGACATATTGGGACACCCTGTTTTTTAAAAAAGGCATTTGCTACAAGATTTTTCATTCCTACCCAAGAGGGAAAAACCAGCCACCACCCCCTTTTTTTTGTCAGCAACAACACTTCAGAAATACATGCTTTACTGTGCAAAACACAAGTCTTTCTGTGCAATATATATATTTTCATGTAAAAACCTTCTATTAATTTTTTTTAAAAAATGCCTGAAATGCATAAAATCATAATCCTATGGAGTGAAGAGAAAACATTTAAAATTGTTGCATTCTTATTTGTGAGAACAAAGTAAAGATTTACATCCTGAGGCCAAACTGTGTTTTACAGATGTAGCATCATTAGAAGCTGAAATCACATCAGATTTCCAGAGATACTGTACAATTCTGAAAAACCTTTGTCTGGAGCCTCATGGTGCAATGGTTAAACTGCAATACTGCAGTCAAGCCTCTGCTCATTACCTGAGTTTAATCCTGACGGGCTCAGGTAGCCGGCTCGAGGCTCCATCCTTCTGAGTTTGGTAAACTGAGTACCCAGCTTGTGGGGTGGGTGGGAATGTGTAGCCTACATAATTAAAAATTGTAAAGCACTCAGAAAGTGCTGGAAGTACTATAGGGTGGTATATAAGCACTTTTTTGTGTCTGACAAATCAGAGCTTGCACGCAGTCTATATTTATATGCTTAGAAGCTAGCAAGTTCATCTGCAAAGTTTGTGAGGTATCAGTTTAACTGTCCTGCTGTTAGAATCAGATGCTTTCAACACTTACAGACTTCTCTCTTCTAATGCTATTAATTTTTTTTAAAAAATGTGAAAAATGCATAAAATCATAATCCTATGAAGAGAAAACATTTAAAATTGTTGCATTCTTATTTGTGAGAACAAAATAAAGATTTACATCCTGAGGCCAAACTGTGTTTTACAGATGTAGCATCATTAGAAGCTGAAATCACATCAGATTTCCAGAGATACTGTACAATTCTGAAAAACCTTTGTCTGGAGCCTCATGGTGCAATGGTTAAACTGCAATACTGCAGTCAAGCCTCTGCTCATTACCTGAGTTCAATCCTGACGGGCTCAGGTAGCCGGCTCGAGGTTCCATCCTTCTGAGTTTGGTAAACTGAGTACCCAGCTTGTGGGGTGGGTGCGAATGTGTAGCCTACATAATTAAAAATTGTAAAGCACTCAGAGAGTGCTGGAAGTACTATAGGGTGGTATTTAAGCACTTTTTTTGTGTCTGACAAATCAGAGCTTGCACACAGTCTATATTTATATGCTTAGAAGCAAGCAAGTTCATCTGCAAAGTTTGTGAGGCATCAGTTTAATTATCCTGCTGTTAGAATCAGATGCTTTCAACAGTTACAGACTTCTCTCTTCTAATGACATGCTATCTGCAATGTATAGTTTGACCCTCATGGGTCTTAGAAGAGAGAGATTTAATGTATGGGTGCCATTTATTCATGTGGTGTGGTAAGAATAATCCCTGCCCCATTAGCCCAGCCACAGTATGATCTAACTACAACTGAGAGATCCCTTAGAGAAGGAATGTTTGCTTTCTTCTCTTATCAAAGGGGGTTCTATGAAGGGTAGTGATTTTGTAATGGTCTTTCTCAGTTCCCATTCAATCCAGGCTGGGGAAAAGGTAAAAAAAAAAAAAAGGCAATGCTGGGGTGGCATGGAGATTCCTTTATTCCTTTACAGGAAATGAAGATGGTGTTTGAAGAATATTTTGCTTTCGTATTTAGTTTTTGCCTTCCTCCCTAAAGGGCTTCACATCTAAGTTAGTCATATCTAGCTCCAGTAGAAATGAGTGACCCGTATGTCATAATAACTTGTTTTATTCCTTTCAGTGGGACTCAAAAAAACAGGAGCTTAGGTTGCATCCAGTCAATGTCTGATACAAACACAAATAAAAAACAAGGAGGGTGAATGACCTCCTGGGGTATGTGTGAATATTCCAAAACCAGGGTGGCACAGCTGAGAAGGCCCTCACCCCAGAAAAAGTGGATAAATCTGTCAATGTTGATTTTGCTCTTTCTCATGCTTTTGGTCCATTCAGTTTTCTGAACACTCATATTTGTATGTGCAGATTCTAATAGACTCATTTGTGCATGGAATTTCCCATAATACAGAGACAGTTTTGCAAACTGTCACAGCATATTTATTACAAATTCAGAAAATCAATACAATTGCTATTTAGGTTTGCACTTGCCATTCAGAAAGCAGCAATTTCTTTGCATACTTTGATTCCGTTCCAAATTAATATTTCATTATTAACCTCAGATTAAATCTATATAGGAGAACAGCCTTGTGGCATTAAATAGATTTTTATAGAAATCCATGATGACTAAGGGAGAATAAATAGAGCTTAACAACCAGGAAATGTACAAGTTCTAAGGTAGCCACTGGAAGGAGCACGACATGGTAAGCAGCCTGGAACATCTGAATCAACCCATCAGCACAGCTGCTACAAATGCTAATGCATCCTTGAATATTAAAGGGAATTAGAGAATTAACGCACTATATGGCAGCTAATTAGTTCTGGGTAAGCATTGATAATTTGGGAGGCAACAGGACACAGACAAGCAAAATGTGGTATTAATTATCTTTTACAAAAGGCAAGAATGATTCAATTAGTTACAAGTCTGTTAAACACCTTAGCTTTGTAAAATAATTGAAAAATATTCAGAGCAAAATCACTGGAGGCTTATCAAATGGCTTATGGAGTGCCAAGAAACAGAGTAAGTTTAGAAAGATTTATTTGCTGTAAAGCCTGCCTGCTTTTCTTTGCTTTATGTGTGTGAAGCGTAGGTAGAAAACAGTTTAAAACTAGAAAAGCCTCATTGTCAAAGTCTATACATTTTGACCAAGGGATGAACTACACAAACATATTTATCATGTTTTTGTAGAGGTGCTCCCTCAAGTGGTAACAAGATGTCTGGTTGTTATAGCATGTAATTTTCTCACAGACACATCCTGCATTTAGTGCCCTTTGGTGTGTATTGGCCACTGGAAGGTAAACACAGGCTTAATATTTGTAGATTGTAGGTTTTGGCAAAACCCTAATTAACAGTTAGAAAACTTCATTACTATTCAATAGGCTGAAGGGCTTAGATAGGAGACCCCCATGTCCAAATCCATGCTCATCCATGAATCTCACTGGCAGTTCTTGGGACAATCACTCTCTATTAGAGGTGCCATCAGCACAGCTGCTACAAATGCTAATGCATCCTTGAATATTAAAGGGAATTAGAGAATTAACGCACTATATGGCAGCTAATTAGTTCTGGGTAAGCATTGATAATTTGGGAGGCAACAGGACACAGACAAGCAAAATGTGGTATTAATTATCTTTTACAAAAGGCAAGAATGATTCAATTAGTTACAAGTCTGTTAAACACCTTAGCTTTGTAAAATAATTGAAAAATATTCAGAGCAAAATCACTGGAGGCTTATCAAATGGCTTATGGAGTGCCAAGAAACAGAGTAAGTTTAGAAAGATTTATTTGCTGTAAAGCCTGCCTGCTTTTCTTTGCTTTATGTGTGTGAAGCGTAGGTAGAAAACAGTTTAAAACTAGAAAAGCCTCATTGTCAAAGTCTATACATTTTGACCAAGGGATGAACTACACAAACATATTTATCATGTTTTTGTAGAGGTGCTCCCTCAAGTGGTAACAAGATGTCTGGTTGTTATAGCATGTAATTTTCTCACAGACACATCCTGCATTTAGTGCCCTTTGGTGTGTATTGGCCACTGGAAGGTAAACACAGGCTTAATATTTGTAGATTGTAGGTTTTGGCAAAACCCTAA